AGGAATGCCACCAAACAACCTACAAGGCAGAGGACACTCCTCACAACGAAAAATTATCAAACCCATAATGTCAACAGCACTGAAGTAGGGAATCCCTGCATTACAGGATACTTTCTCTAAGCTTTCTACTAAACTGTCCATACATGGTTGTTTGAGGAGTCTACTTGTAACTGTTAGACAAAAATGTCTATTAAATTCTCTTATTAAATCTTATTATTTTAAGGAACTATAGGGTTATTTGGAGACTCACACTAAGTTTTGGAGTTAGCATTCTTAGAAAACAATCATTTCCTTATATAAAGCAACATTTACTGCTTCTGTTGGAAGCTAATATGGCATTTCTATTTTTCCATGGTGGTAGAATGATATCAAAGTTAGATCACAAATTTGGGGTTGCACAGATTTCCACAGATGTGGGGCGATAGAGATGGCTAAGACAATTTATAGTCAGTAGAAGTGATGGTTTTATGCCAGACATGCTTCCGTAAAAAGGCCCAGGGAAGCCAGCTTGGCTGGCATGACAGCTGCTGAGTGAAGGGGAAATTGGCTCTGATGCTTTCCCCACGCCTGCTGGCCCAGTAGTGGGCTATGTGCTATGTATTTTTCTTCAGGCAAAAATGCATCTGGTGTCTGCTACTCTCCCACAAGTTTAGGGAGGGGATCCCGGGGAGATGGAGAAGTTCTCTTGGCATCTTCGAGGGTATATATTCGCTGGAATTGTTTCAGTTTCACTGCTCATCTTTCTTTAATTATCTACTGCAGTTCTTTTATAGCTTTATTGTAAGTGGTTCCAGAGTGTTGAGTAATCAGAACCAGGAGAAATGTGATATTTCAGGTTTGGTTGGGTTGACATGGAAAGGTTCTGATACTTATTCTCTGCTTTGGCTCAAGGCCAAAGTCTCTACTACATGTTTTGACATTTCCTAAAATTGCCTGCACTTTCAGGTCCACTATACAAAGTAAGGAAGACATAGCTTCGGGATCTTGTGTATGAAGTTCTATTGAAGGGTTGACCAGTAGGAAAAGGGAAAGTTTGGAATAAAAAGATCACTCTTGTCACTTGCTAACTTTTTAGCCTTAGGAAAGCCACAGAATCCCTGATCAATTTTCTTATCTGTGAAATAGATATAAGTGTATCCCCTGCCTAATTTATAGGGTTATTTTAAGGACCAAACAGAGCAAAGTATATAATCTCGTGGTTCAAAAATAGGCTAAATCTGTGAAAAATCAACCTTCTTAACCACAAATATTGGAACTTATTTTCCTACATTTTGTCAAGGGAAACTGTCAAGACCAACAAGTGGAAAAATTTTAGATATAATGGACTTAATTAAATTTAATAACTTTATTGGAGTATAATTGCTTTACAATGGTGTGTTAGTTTCTGCTGTATCACAAAGTGAATCAGCTATAAGTATACATATATCCCCATATCCCCTCTCTCTTGCATCTCCCTCCCACCGTCCCTATCCTGCCGTTCTAGGTGGTCACAGAGCACCGCACTAATCTCCCTGTGCTATGCGGCTGCTTCCCACTAGCTATCTGTTTTGCATTTGGTAGTGTATATATGTCCATGCCACTCTCTCACTTCGTCCCAGCTTACCCTTCCCATCCCCATGTCCTCAAGTCCATTCTCTAGTAGGTCTACATCTTTATTCCTGTCCTGTCCATAGGTTCTTCATGACGATTTTTTTTTTTTAGATTCCATATGTATGTGTTAGCAAACTGTATTTGTTTTTCTCTTTCTGATTTACTTCACTCTGTATGACTGACTCTAGCTCCATCCACCTCACTACGAATAACTCAATTTTGTTTCTTTTTATGGCTGAGTAATATTCCATTGTGTATATGTGCCACATCTTCTTTATCCATTCACTTGTCGATGGACACTTAGGTTGCTTCCATGTCCTTGCTATTGTAAACAGAGCTGCAATGAACATTGTGGTGCATAACTCTTTTTGAATTATGGTTTTCTCAGGGTATATGCCCAGTATGGGATTGCTGGGTCGTATGGTAGTTCTATTTTTAGTTTCTTAAGGAACCTCCATACTGTTTTCCAGAGTGACTGTATCAATTTACATTCCCACCAACAGTGCATGAGGGTTCTCTTTTCTCCACACTCTCCAGCATTTATTGTTTGTAGATTTTGTGATGATGCTCATTCTGACCAGTTTGAGGTGATAACACATTGTAGTTTTGACTTGCATTTCTCTAATGATTAGTGATGTTGAGCATCCTTTCATGTGTTTGTTGGCAATCTGTATATCTTCTCTGGAGAAATGTCTATTTAGGTCTTCTGTCCATTTTTGGATTAGGTTGTTTGCTTTTTCGATATTGAGCTGCATGGGCTGCTTGTAAATTTTGGAGATTAATCCTTTGTCAGTTGCTTTGTTTGAAAATATTTTCTCCCATTCTGAGGGTTGTCTTTTCATCTTGTTTATGGTTTCCTTTGCTGTGTGAAAGCTTCTAAGTTTCATTAGGTCCCATTTCTTTATTTTTGTTTTTATTTCCATTTCTCTAGGAGGTGGGTCAAAAAGGATCTTGCTGTGATTTATGTCATAGAGAGTTCTGCCTATGTTTACTTCTAAGAATTTTATAGTGTCTGGCCTTACATTTAGGTCTTTAATCCATTTTGAGTTTATTTTTGTGTATGGTGTTAGGGAGTGTTCTAATTTCATTCTTTTACATGTAGCTGTCCAGTTTTCCCAGCACCACTTATTGAAGAGGCTGTCTTTTCTCCATTGTATACTCTTGCCTCCTTTATCTACAATAAGGTGACCATATGTACATGGATTTATCTCTGGGCTTTCTATCCTGTTCCATTGATCTATATTTCTGTTTTTGTGCCAGTACCATACTGTCTTGACTACTGTAGCTTTGTAGTATAGTCTGAAGTCAGGGAGCTTGAGTCCTCCAGCTCTGTTTTTCTTTCTCAAGATTGCTTTGACTATTCGTGTTTCCATATAAATTGTGAAATTTTTTGTTCTACTTCTGTGAAAAATGCCATTGGTAATTTGACAGGGATTGCATTGAATCTGTAGACTGCTTTGGGTAGTATAGTCATTTTCACAATGTTCATTCTTCCAGTCCAGGAACATGGTATATCTCTCCATCTGTTTGTATTATCTTTAATTTCTTTCATCAGTGTCTTATACTTTTCTGCATACAGGTCTTTTGTCTCCATAGATAGGTTTTGTTTTTTTTTTTGCGATACGCGGGCCTCTCAGTGTTGTGGCCTCTCCCGTTGTGGAGCACAGGCTCCGGACGCACAGGCTCTGCAGCCATGGCTCATGGGCCCAGCCGCTCCGCGGCATGTGGGATCCTCCCGGACCGGGGCCCAAACCTGCGTCTCCTGCATCGGCAGGCAGACTCTCAACCACTGCGCCACCAGGGAAGCCCCCATAGATAGGTTTATTCCTAGGTATTTTATTCTTTTTGCTGCAAGGGTAAATGGGATTGTTTCCTTAATTTCTCTTTCAGATTTTTCATCATTAGTGTATAGGAATGCAAAAGATTTCTGTGCATTAATTTTGTATCCTGCTACAATGAATTACCAAATTCATTGATTAGCTCTAGTAGTTTTCTTGTAGCATCTTTAGGTTTCTCTATGTGTAGTATGTAATCTGCAAGCAGTGACAGTTTTACTTCTTTTCCAATTTGGATTCCTTTTATTTCTTTTTCTTCTTTGATTGCTGTGGCTAAAACTTCCAAAACTATGTTGAATAATAGTGGTGAGATTGGGCAACCTTGTCTTGTTCCTGATCTTAGTGGAAATGGTTTCAGTTTTTCACCAGTGAGAATGATGTTGGCTGTGGGTTTGTCATATATGGCCTTTATTATGTTGAGGTAAGTTCCCTCTATGCCTACTTTCTGGATGGCTTTTATCGTAATTGGGTGTTGAATTTTTTCAAAAGCTTTCTCTGCTTCTATTGAGATTATCATATGGTTTTTATCCTTTAATTTGTTAATGTTGTTTATCACATTGACTGATTTCCATATATTGAAGAATCCTTGCATTCCTGGGATACACCCCACTTGATCATGGTGTATGATCCTTTTAATGTGCTGTTGGATTCTGTTTGCTAGTATTTTGTTGAGGATTTTTGCATCTATGTTCATCAGTGATATTGGCCTGTAGTTTTCCTTTTCTTGTGACATCTTTGTCTGGTCTTGGTATCAGGGTGATGGTGGCCTCATAGAATGAGTTTGGGAGTGTTCCTCCCTCTGCTATATTTTGGAAAAGTTTGAGAAGGATAGGTGTTAGCTCTTCTCTAAATGTTTGATAGAATTCACCTGTGAAGGCATCTGGTCCTGGGCTTTTTTTGGAAGATTTTTAATCACAGTTTCAATATCAGTGCTTGTGATTTGTCTGTTTATATATTCTATTTCTTCCTGGTTCAGTCTTGGAAGGTTGTCCTTTTCTAGGAATTTGTCCATTTCTTCCAGGTTGTCCATTTTATTGGCATATATTTGCTTGTAGTAATCTCTCATGACCCTTTGTATTTCTGCAGTGTCAGTTGTTCTCATTTTTCATTTCTAATTCTATTGATTTGAGTCTTCTCCCCTTTTTTTCCTTATGAGTCTGGCTAATGGTTTATCCATTTTGTTTATTTTCTCAAAGAACCAGCTTTTAGTTTTATTGATCTTTGCTATTGTTTCCTTCATTTCTTTTTCATTTATTTCTGATCTGATCTTTATGATTTCTTTCCTTCTGCTAACTTTGGGTTTGTTTTGTTCTTCTCTCTTTAATTGTTTTAGGTGTAAGGTTAGGTTGTTTATTTGAAATGTTTCTTGTTTCTCGAGGTAGGATTGTATTGCTGTAAACATCCCTCTTACAACTCCTTTTGCTGCATCCCATAGATTTTGGTTCATTGTGTTCGTTGTCATTTGTTTCAAGGTATTTTTTTATTTCCTATTTGATTTCTTCAGTGATCTCTTGGTTAATTAGTAGTGTAGTGTTTAGCCTCCATGTGTTTGTATATTTTACAGTTTTTTTCCTGTAAGTGATCTCTAGTCTTATAGCATTGTGCTCAGAACTGATTCTTGATAGGATTTCAATTTTCTTAAACTTACCAAGGCTTGATTTGTGACCCAAGATATGATCTATCCTGGAGAATGATCCATGAGCACTTGAGAAGAAAGTGTATTCTGTTGTTTTTGGATGTAATGTCCTAAAAATATCAATTAAGTCCATCTTGTCTAATGTGTCATTTAAAGCTTGTGTTTCCTTATTTATTTTCATTTTGGATGATCTGTAATTATCAATATGTATGTAATTATCAATATGTATGTTCCTATTACCATTTTCATAATTGTTTTGGGTTTGTTATTGTAGGTCTTTTCCTTCTCTTGTGTTTCATGCCTAGAGAAGTTCCTTTAGCACTTGTTGTAAAGCTGGTTTGGTGGTGCTGAGCTCTCTTAGCCTTTGCTTGTCTGTAAAGGTTTTATTTTCTCCATCGAATCTGAATGAGATCCTGCTGGATAGAGTAAACTTGGTTGTAGGTTTTTCCCTTTCATCACTTTAAATATGTCCTGCCACACCCTTCTGCGTTGCAGAGTTTCTGCTGGAAGATCAGCTGTTAACCTTATGGGGATTCCCTTGTATGTTATTTGTTGCTTTACCCTTTCTGCCTTTAATATTTTTTCTTTATGTTTAATTTTTGATAGTTTGATTAATATGTGTCTTGGTGGCTTTCTCCTAGGATTTATCCTATATGGGACTCTGCACTTCCTGGACTTGATTAACTATTTCCTTTCCCATATTAGGGAAGTTTTCAATTATAATCTCTTCAAATATTTTCTCAGACCCTTTCTTTTTCTCTTCTTCTTCTGGGACCCCTATAATTCGAACATTGGTGCATTTAAGGTTGTCCCAGAGGTCTCTGAGACTGTCCTCAATTCTTTTCATTCTTTTTTCTTTATTCTGCTCTGCAGTAATTATTTCCACTATTTTATCTTCCAGGTCACTTATCCGTTCTTCTGCCTCATTTATTCTGCTATTGATTCCTTCTAGAGAATTTTAACTTTCATTTATTGTGTCGTTTGTCATTTTTTGCTTGCTCTTTAGTTCTTCTAGGTCCTTGTTAAACATTTGTTGTATTTTGTCCATTCTATTTCCAAGATTTTGGATCATCTTTAGTATCATTACTCTGAATTCTTTTTCAGGTAGACTGCCTATTTCCTCTTCATTTGTTTGGTCTGGTGGGTTTTTACCTTTCTCCTTCAACTGCTGCATATTTCTCTGTCTTCTCATTTTGCTTAACTTACTGTGTTTGGGGTCTCCATTTCACAGGCTGCAGGTTCGTAGTTCCTGTTGTTTTTGGTGTCTGCCCCCAGTGGGTAAGTTTGGTTCAATGTGTTGTGTAGGCTTCGTGGTGCAGGGGATGGGTGCCTGTATTCTGATGGATGCGGCTGGATCTTTTCTTTCTGGTGGACAGGACCACATCTGGTGGTATGTTTTTTGGTGTCTGTGAACTTATTATGATTTAGGCAGCCTTTCTGCTAATAGGTGGGGTTGTGTTCCTGTCTTGCTCGTTGTTTGGCGTGGTATGTCCAGCACTGGAGCTTGGTGGTCATTGAGTGGAGCTGAGTCTTAGCGTTGAGATGGAGATCTCTGGGAGAACTCTCACCAACTGATATTACGAGGGGCCAGGAGGTCTCTGGTGGACCAATGTCCTGACGTCAGCTCTCCCATTTCAGAGGCTCAGGCCGACACCTGACCAGAACATCCAGACCCTGGTAATGTTGGTCTCCTGCAGAGGTGGGGGGCAGCTGTGGATCACCATGGGAACAAGGACAGTGACAGCAGAAGGTCTGGGAAGCAGTCTTTGTCATGAGCGCCCCCAGAGTCCTCCAAGAGCCCCACCACAGATCCTGTAGCCTGGGCTTAATTAAATTTAAAACACGTTTGAAAAAACGTTTGCCTTCCTGCAGAAAAGGACTTTTCTAATATATGCAAAGTAGATGGCCTCATGTTCCCACACTACTGAAGTAAACCCAAAACCAAAAAGCCAAATAACAAACACTCATGCCATTGTTGAATCACCTGGAAATCTCATGGGGTAAATTGGAATAATGATTGTTTGTAGTGACAAACTTTTTTCTTTTCACCATGCTCCTTCAAGTGGTGGCTGGTTAAAATAAATGCATAGTTGTGTTTTTACACCCAAAGTAAAATGAATTAAACTTGCCAAACATTGTGAGCTCTTTCATATCTGCCTTATTTAATGCTTACTAAATACTGTGATAACTTCTCATGTGACTTGATTTTGTTCTTTCTCTGCAGAGATGAAAATTATGGTAGGGTGGTACTCCTTAGACGTAACTCCCATGATGCCTCAGACAGGTGGGTGTTTCAGATGAGTTATTCATTAGCAGAAACACAAAGACAGTCATTTTTGAGAGTAGACTTGTTCAAGACAGGCTGAATATTTGTGGCTAGCCTCAGGCTTTCCCTGACATTCTGGGCACATGAAGGAGAATCTGTGATACCATCAGGGGTATTTACAGGGCAAACTGTGCTTTTCCAGCTTTACGCTTCCAGAATACAGCTTGGAGGTGTAGAATAATCAATCCACTGCCTACCCTACCAAGGTCGCCCTCCTGACAGGAAAGGGAAGGGGCTGCCACAGAAACATAGGATATTTCTGAGCCTTAGAGAAAGGAACCCTAAAAGCAAAACAACAGCTAAGTTCACTTACTTTATGGGACAGTACATTTCTTTTCAAAAACTCCTAGGCTTGTGGAAAACCACTAAATGATACTCAATGGCAAATAGACTGACAAATGCAAATTAGTAGGAAAATTCAAACAAAACTCGTAAGTGCAATGATGTAAATAATCTAATATTGATGAAATAAATAGATAATATTCTTACTAAAGTACATTTACAGTCACACATATACAAACAACCACACCCATCAGAAGAACTTAACTATTTCTCAGTCACAAGTTTTATCTGGTCCAGTAGCCAGTGTCTTCCACCAAGACATACTTAGTGATTGTCTTTCATGGTGGGGACTTTAAAAAGTTAAGTAGACACTTTGAATATGTCTATTTTGGAATTTTTATCTGTGAATTTTTCTGAACCGTTTAAAAATTGTTCATAATTTTGATGTGTTCTCAGGGTCCTGAGTTTACCCCCCTCTACACAGAGTATCTGATTGGTTTTTGGGTTTCCAGCCTTGGCTCATCCAATTGACTGTTCTGTGATTTGGCAGGCTCTCTCCATGCTCTCTCCTTGGTCTTCATGATTTTGAAGCTTACATCCTTGTTCTCTGTTGGCCTTCAACTCACCAAACAAAGGGAACCTAATCATCTGAATCCAGACACCAGTGAAAAATGCCCCCTCCATTTTATTTGCCTTTCTCTGCAACTATTAAAGAACAAACATACTTGTTGTGAAGTGTGACCAGGCAGACTAAGCTTTGTGCTCTTAGTGTGTTTCAGAATAACAGGACCTTAATGCCGTCTATGCTTACTTTATATTTTAAACTCTATTGGTTACCTGAACCCTTCCTGTTACTGGACAGCATTCTGGCTAAAACACATCGAGCTTTTATCCTAAGTAACAAAAATCTGCAAGCCTGAGACATTTCCCCTTTGACCCCTTGACTTGCGTCTCAAACGACATCTTCCTAAAAGGTAGTGTAGGTTATTTATCTCCTCGCATTTGCTCAAATGGATGCCCATGTGACACTTTTCTACCCTTTTGAAGAGTCTGTGTCCACTTTGATGTTCACCCAATACCGCGTTGGAGCACCTACTGTGTGCTGACATTGTGCCAGGTGCTGGGAACACAAAGATGCATAATACACCAGCCTTGACCTTAAGGAACTCTCACATTTCATGGAAAAAGATGAATACATAAGCACAAATACTCAAATTTACCATGGAAAGTGCTTGTGGAAGTGTGTGCCGGTGCTATGGGAAGGAGCAGAGGGAGTGGCTAACTTTGCCTGAATAAGTGGGAGACCTCACTGAGGACGTGGTCGTTAAGAGGCGCTTCCAGCAGAAGCAATGATATGTCCCAGAGTTCCACACGAGCAGAGACTGAAAATAAAGGAAAAGGAAAATAAATAATAGTCTCATCACCCTAGAAAACAAGCTTCATAGTGTGCACAAACTAGGACATTTTACTGTCCTTCCTCTGCCCGATCATTAAAACATGTCACATGAGGCAGAAGGCAAAAATAGTACCTGTGGAGATGCCCTATGTGAGCCAGTCACTATTCTAAAGTCTGGGGACAAAACAAAATCCCCGCTTTCATAGAACTTGCTTCCTAGTTGAAGGTGGAGGAGGGAGAAACTAAAAATAAACAAACACAATATAATATGTCATGTGGTGATAAGTACCTGGAAGAATAAAGCTGCTAATGAGACATACAACAATAGCATCTGCAAAAGGGGCTGTTTTCTGGAAGGCGGTCAGATGGCCCTGCAGCATCTATCTGCACTCATGTATTACACCTGCTGGTGAACCACACTATGATTTCACTCTGAGTTTCTTTAAAAATGCGGGGAATTGCATTAGGCTTTTTTTAACCTTATTCTTGCTTTAACCGACACTATTCCTTCTACCTCTGTTTGTTCATGTCTATTTATCCTCCAAGATCCAGCTTGACCTGCACCTCATCCCGAAAGCCTTCTGTGATCCCCGCCTCTACAAATAAGCTTTCTCAGCTTCAAACTTCCTTGCACTTGACCTGAACCTCTTCTACGACACTGACCACTTGTTGCACTTGGACGTATGTCTGATTTGTCCCTCTAGCTCTGTGTGTGTAGGGGTTACAGATAATTCATTCTCGACTTCCTCACTCACAGTCATCAGCACAGTATATCGTTTACCTCCAAATATTTGCTTAATAAAGATATACTACATTAAGTTAAAAATTACATGTTAAATAGTATACTGTTTTAGTACTTTTTCTGATTCAATATGTTTGATCTGTCAGCTTCAAGTGATGCTTTGAAATGCAAACTGTAAATCATGGTATAATTCTCCAAAGAGCTTGCTTTCCCTGTATCACAAGGTTATATAAAGCATTAAACAGGCTTTTTTTTTTTTTTTTTTTTTGCTGATTGATCAGTCTGATCAAGATATCTCCACTGCTTTGGTGATCATCGTTCCTACTGCTGGGCCTTCTATCTTCGTTTCCCTTATTTTCTTGTCTTCTCCCCCACTCCCTTTTTTCCCTACTTTTCTGTCCGCCTTAACTCTCTGCCTCTGTCTCTCCTCTCCCTTCTCCCGGTCTCCCCTCTCTTCTCCTATCCTTCCCATCCATCCTTTCTCTATTCCCCCACTGTCTTCTTTTCATTTCTTTCCAGTGTCTCCTGTTTCTTTCTTTTCCTTTTTTTCTTCTCTCTCCCTCCCTCTTTTCTGCCAGCAAGGTCTCTTCTCTCAACCCTGTCCACGGTACTGAACTTATAATGAAGCAACTTGTACGCAGCTGTTGTGCTGGCTTATGGCTCTGCTGAAACTCTGCAAACAAAACATAGCTGATTATAAGGGACTGAGTTCCTATTACATAAAAATCAACGACATTGAAAACACTACATATTAGTTATAAACCATTTTGCATGTTGTGTTGCTTGTTTTACATATCCTTATCACCAATTTGAATGTGTTACATTGTAATTAAAATAATTGGACCTAGAGAAGAATTCTTTTATTAGCATGGGGAATAGGGTTTGCTATATTTTATCCTATCCAAGTCAAAGCCTGGGAAGATTTCGGTACTCCAGATCTGTAACATGTACATCTCCTACCCGAATAGGACAAAATTTTACCAAATCCATGATAAGTTTTATAACTATTTTTTGTAATTTATTTGATCTTTCTATAATTATTTTTTGGTACAGGAAAACAAACGAGAGGGATGAGCCAAAAGCCACAATCAGTTGGCACAGATCTGATGACACATTGGACAGGTAAGGTGTTTTGAACCACACGAGTGGAATGCATAACGTATGTTAAATCCAGTTTCTTATAAAGCATGAGACATTTAAATGTTTACCAAAGTAAGTTTTGAACCATGATATTTTATCTCCAGGGACTGAAGGACTATAAAGATTGAATTATCTTCTTCTTCAAGACTCACAAAATCTTGACTTGATATGCCATTTTCCTAAAATCTTGCTAGCAGGAGATCAAAAGGAAAAATTCTGAAAAACTGGTTTGAATATAGGTAGGGTGAGCACTGCATGTGGTCTGTTCAACTTTAAATGGAGAATGTAGTTTTTTTGTGTGTGAGTAGCCAGTTCTTGTTCTAGCTTTGGTCTTTCCATCCCAGAGGCAGAGAAACAGCAGTTTCTGTATAATTACCTTATGGAGAGACTGTACCTTTTAATAATACAGTAGGTTTGATCTGCTCTAGGATAAAGACATTGGCTCTTTACTTTAGAAAGTGAAACTACTCTTTCGGCAGTGGAGTCACCATATGGCTGTGGAATGAGTCATTGGCTGAGCCTGTTATTGGCTCAGTCTTAGACAGAGGGAAAAGAAGGGCTCATCCCTATATAGAAAATTGAGGAATATCTATTCAAGTTGAAGTGTAAATGCTCCAAGTCACATTTTAATTTTATATTTGGTAGAGGTGCTTATTAGGCATAAGTAAAGAACAAAGTTAACATGTTATTTGGAATCTAGACATAGTGAATACCTGGGGCCATTTATAGTTGAAGCGACTCCCTGTAGCTAAAGATGTGCTGCTTTTGGAGACAAACATGCCACCCGCTACAATTGAAGCACATATGCTGAAACTTATGGCATCTAATAGATTCTATATTCACACCATGCCTGTGCCAATTAATACAGCAAATGCATGCACTTCTGCACTCTTCATAGCTTTTTTAAAAAAATAATTTAATTGATTTATTGAAATCCATCAAAATTAATAGTCTCTACTTTTTGAAAGATACTGTTAAGAGGTAAAAATCAAACCAAAGACAAGGAGAAAATATTTGCAAATCATATATCTGATTAAAAAAACAAAACAAAACACACATTTGTATCCAGAGTTTATAAAGAACTCTGCAAATAAGAGAGAAGTACTTCCAAACTGTAGAGTAAGTGCCTCCAAAAACCCACTCCTCCAGAAAAGTATTAACACTGGAAAAAACTGTCAAAATCAACTTTTTCAGAACTCTGGAAATTAACCAAAGGCTTGAAACAATTTGCTAAGTGTTTATTCAAGAAAAAGAGTTGGCTGTCAGTAAGAATGGCATGAATTGCCACATTTTAAAGCTTCCTATTCACCTATTCCTTTCCCCAGCTCCATGGTAGCCTTGAAAACCAGCAGTCTTGGAACAACAGCAGCTTCTTCATAGCTTTTTAAGTCAATCTCCCGAATAGCAGACAATCAGCCCTGGTATCCCTAAGGAGGTGACTTCTCTCTAGTAATTCAAAAATCAGTTTGTGAGAGGAGTCATTCACCTCCGCCTTGCAGGCTGTCCTATTACACTGCTAATTGAGGACGGAAACCCTACTTCTAGGAATGTAATTGCAAGTGAGATAATTATGTCTCAAGAAAGGTAAATATGTGGGAGACCTAAGCCTTTGTAGGCTGTGTGTCTGAAAGCTTTTATCAGGCCAGTCAAGATAGAGCCTTGGAACTTAGCGATACACTAGACCAGGCCTCACAGGCAAGCTAATTGAGTCATTCTCAGCCTCAGCGACAAATTAGAATTACCTAGAGAGCTTTTTAACTCTGCTGATAACTTGGTCCCACCAGCTCTCATCCCCCAAATGCTAATTTAATTAGTCTGAGGTAGGACTCGGACATTTTTTAAAGCTTAGGAAGTGATTCTGATGTGCAGCCAAAATTCAGAACCACCAACCTAGCCCAAGCCTTCATTTTGTAAACTAGAAAATGAGGCCAGAGATTCCCTGCTTTGTTTACCCAGAGGTTTAGCGGCGTATGTTTGGAAGAAGTATCCTGGTCAGGTCCTTCCGCAGGTGGTGTCTGTCTCCCACCAGTGAGCTACAGCTCTGTAAGTGTGGGAACAGAAGTGAGGGAGAGAACACAGGAGTCTGTAAAGAAAGGCAAGTCCTCATAACAGGAGTCAGCCTCCTATCATGCAGGCCACTCCAAGTGCAAGAGGTGAACTAATTTTGGGAGGTAGATGAGCAAATGTATCAGGTGTGTGAGTATGTGTGCCGTTTCAATACTAACTCATAATAAATGAGTAGGAGAAAAGTACTGACTTTAAATTTGAAGAGTTCCCTTTTAAAATATGCATCTGTTGGTAAAAATATGAAGTGTTCTAAAGAAATATAAGTTAATAATTGTGTATGTGCATACACTATGGCGCAAACCCTGAAGGTGGTTTCTTGACTAATTTGGAAAACCTAGGTTAAGGAGCCCTCTAGTGTTCGGTTATGGAAGTGTTACTTTTCCTTTGGTTGGTTGGATCCTGCTGCTAGTTATATTGTTTAGGTATTTCCTGTCTCTAAGACTGACTCCTATTAATCTCATATCACAACTTGGCAGAAAATTAGTTTCTAAGAGAAGTACAAAGTTAATCTCCCTAAGTAATAAGAAATTGATGGATGCATTAGAGTTCTCTCCAATATTGTTTATATACTGATTCCCCTAGTGGAGTGAAAGAGATAGTGGAGGTGAAAAATAACAACTGAAGAAAGACATGTTGATCATGAGTGTTGGAACAATTACACTACAGAACCAGGTGTACGACATTGGGGCCTACTGGGAAGACTTTGGAGATAGACCACTTCCCGGCTGTGTGGCCAAGAGAAAGCCACCCACCTTCTCTGAGACTCCACTTCTTCATCTATAAAGCGAAAATAATTACACCTAGCTTGTAGGGATGTTCTGAAGAGTAGAGGAAATTGTATAAGATGAGTGGCAAAGTGTAGCAGGTAGCTATTTTTATTATTACATATACAGCATTGCCCAAATAGATCAACACAGTAGAATTTTGATTAACTTCATTTGATTGTAACCTCAGAGCTCTCCTTTATTTAAACCTTGAAGGTGTTTGAAATGAATGCTGTTTTCTTTAAACAGATTGTCATTTTCCCTGTACCAGAGTAGCAATTTCCCAAGATTATTTTTATCTTATATGAGGATCTCACAGACAGCTATAAATGCTGAGTAGTTTCCACAGAACATTTAAGATTCAGGATTACCTGACATCTTATGGTATTCACAGTGGTTTACTGCAGAGCTCTTTAAATATGAACACATCAGAGGCTCAGTAGCAATTAGTACAGGGAATTTACTTATAGTCTTTGGCCTAATGATCACCTGAGAGATCATCATGAGTTTTTTGGGGTGTTTTTTTTGCGGTACGCGGGCCTCTGACTGTCGTGGCCTCTCCCGTTGCGGAGCACAAGCTCCGGATGCGCAGGCCCAGCGGCTATGGCTCACGGGCCCAGCCACTCGGTTGCATGTGGGATCTTCCCGGACCGGGGCACAAACCCGTGTCCCCTGCATCGGCAGGCAGACTCTCAACCACTGCGCCACCAGGGAAGCCCTCATCATGAGTTTTTAATACTTGGATTCATTCTGTACAAGATAGTACCTGTACTGTGAACAGTCTATTGAGAATATGGAGCTCTGGAGGATTCCAACCTTTCTTCCTTTTTACATTCAAGAGTTATCAGTTTGTGGCATTACGTACCATAAACAGAAACTATTTGGGGTTGACTCGTAGAATTTTAACAATTAGGGTTATTTACCCAATGTTTTAGTTACACATGTCAAAGTGACATCTAGGAATTGAAATCATTTTAAAGCTATGACAATTAAGCCACATTTTTCTATCATGAATTTTTTTTTTAGAACAAGGCAAGGTTAGTGTCCATCCCAGGAACTGTTTATAAAGCCCTGTACTAAAGTGGATGATAAAAGTGAAAGTTTAGAGAAAGTTATAGTAGACCCATAGTATGGGATCAACAGAAGAATCTTGCTGATCTTTTGTTTTCTGGAGCCTGATTTTGCCACATCTTAGCTTTGTGCAAGCCTGCAGAATGCTCCAGAAGACAGCCCCACATCTCAGGAAGAGCTTTCCTATCTGCTGTGTTCTTCCTGGCAGGAAGGGACAGAACAGGGGTTGCAGTTGTGAGATCCCACCACTGGCATGCAGACTACAGGATTCCTAGTTTGTCTTATGACCCAAAGGACAGACAAACACACCTTTTCCAGAACTACCCTCCTTGTGGAGCCCTGAGTTTAGAGGGTTTAAAACCTCTGATGGTCCGCAGGGCCTGTTAACAAAATGTGTTAGTCAGTGTAAACAAGTTTGCCAGGGTAGAGCAACTCTTGTAACAAGTTCCTTCTCCTGCCTCCAAATCTTGGTCGGTTAGCCCGATAGAAGATTACTGCTCACTCCCCTCAGAGTCCAAAGGGATTGGCTGGAAAATTAGGGGACGACCCTGTTCCATGGAATGACTCAGGGACCTAGGTTCTTTCCTAGGTTTTAATGCTGCCATATTCAACCCATGGGCATCAAAGCCATAGCAGAAGGGGAAGAAAGAGCATGGAGGATCACACAAGAGGTTTTATGATGGGTTTGGGAGTCATGAATAATATTCCTGCCCACATTCTTAGTTTAGAATGCAATCATATGGTCCCAACTTAATTGTAATGAAGATTGGGAAATATGGTCTTCCTGTGTGCTCAGAAGGAAAATAAAGAGTTTGACAACTATATAGCATTGTCTATGCCACAAAACATTTTTTAAAAATTGCTTAAGTCTTCCACTGATTCCTTTTAGCGACATAGGAAGTACTGTCATTGGCTAGATATATTATTAAACAATAATGAATATGAAATAGTTAATGAGTTAAATGCTCAAATGAGTTAGAAAGGCTAGTTGAAAAACATAAACTTTAAAAGTTGCAAACTGTATCAAAAGAGCCTCATAAATAGATTTTGTTGTAAGTAGCTTTTTTTTAATTGCAAAATTTTCTGACATGTAACACCTGAAAAGCACTTGTTTTTACCAGAGAAAGTTTCTGTTGTGAAGTGATTATAGCAAGAACGAGGTCTGAAGGGAGTTTAATAATCTAAATGTTCATCCAGACTTTTGTCTTATTTCTTTATAAAGGATCTCAGACAGAAATGATGCTGCTAAAATATATAAGGCCAATACCCTGGATAACCGACTAACCAACAGGTACCAGTATCTACTAACTTCGGGAAAGGCTCAAGTAATACAATATTTTTCTAAGCGTTACTTATTTACTTGATATTAAGTAGGATTCTTCAATCCTGCTTAATATCTTTCTGTAAATTCTCATCCTCTATTTTTTTGTTTTGTTTTGTTTTTTAGATGTTGGGGGTAGGAGTTTATTAATTAATTAATTAATTAATTAATTATTGCTGTGTTGGATCTTCGTTTCTGTGCGAGGGCTTTCTCTAGTTGCGGTGAGAGGGGGCCACTCTTCATCGCGGTGCGCAGGCCTCTCACTATCGCGGCCTCTCTTGTTGCGGAGCACAGGCTCCAGACGCGCAGGCTCAGTAGTTGTGGTTCACGGGCCTAGTTGCTCCGCGGCATGTGAGATCCTCCCAGACCAGGGCTCGAACCCCTGTCCCCTGCATTAGCAGGCAGATTCTCAACCACTGTGCCACCAGGGAAGCCCCATCCTCTATTTTTTTTTCACACAAATAATTCTGGCATAAAAACTTTACTCCTGCTCATGATTAAAGAAAAATAAAGTCTTACTTCTGGCTTCAAAATCAAGAGTTCATTGCTTCAGGCCATCATTCTTACCACATTTATGTTACTATTTAAGTTATCCTGGTGGCAAGATTATGAAATACATGTAAACGTCAATTTTACATTCCTATTGTTAAAGAAAATTACCGAATCCAGCAAACAAAAACACGGGGCTTAAAAGATAATGAATTTTCTAAAGAAAAAAAATTTCTTTTGGAATCTAATACACAAAAGGTAAAAAAATCATGAGCTCAACTTTTCAAATTTATTCAAATACTGATGCTTTCTTTTTCTTTCTTGCAAATAATGTTTACTTTTAATAATAATAACTCTAAATTCATGGACAATTGCAAATTGATGCAAGAATTCTTTCTTTGTTGCTGCTCAAACTTTGCCTTCTTTTTTTCTTACCAGAAACACGTCCACGTTTCGGTCACCAGAAGAGACAAAGATGTATGTACTTTTCTAACTGACATTACATTTTAAGAATAAAGTGTATTTCTTCCTATGTGTCCAAGAAAAATCAGGATATACTGCCCTCAGACCAAAGCTTCATTGTAGTTCAGCCATGCCCCCATAGCTTTGGCAGAGTTGAATAGTAGAAATATTGAAATGCTCCATAAATTTCAAGTGTTTTCTGTCTGGACTTTTACACAGAAGGACTTCTCCTCTAACCAAACACCAAAGCTTAGGTCATTCTTTATTTTTTCTTTTCTTTTTTTAAAATCTAGAAGCTTTTAATCATTTCCCTATTCCTATGGCAACTCTTTCTTCCTGCACATTTCACTTGCTCCCAAAACACCCATCGTATCTACAGTACAACTTAGTCATGAAATAATGGCTTTGCTAACAATCTATGTAGACAAAATACATTTTCCCTGTACTAACAATGGTTGTTATAAACTACCAAACTATGTAGATTTTTGAAAACTTAATTGGTTTTTAAATTTGTATTTACAAATAAAGTAATTTTCACACTGGACTGCACCTCCAGTAGTTGAAAAGGCCTGAGTGACTTCCATTTTTTTTTGAGGGTCTGCATATATTAATAAATGTTAAATAGAGATTTAAAATGGTGTGATTTTTAAATGTTTTCTTAAACTAATGCTTTTAATGCAAAAAAATTCAATATGATTCTGTTAGTCACAACATATACAGGATCAAAAAATGTATGTAGGAATCCATAGGACATTGGAATTGATTGGTCTGGGTTTCAGACATACCATGTCATATAATGAATGACTTCTTCATTCAATTCCTTCGGTTTTAATTATTTGGATGATCTGGCAATTTGTAAAATAGTAAACTAAGGAAGAACTTTTTCTGTTGTTGCTCAAGTGAAATATTTTGTGATGGATTCAGAGCATGTGGGAATATGAGTAGATTATAAGACCTTTCGAAGGTGGGGTAGAGTGGAAAAGTTTCAGAAATGTGATCATTGTTTGTTCTTGTGATGAAACAGGCAACCTGGAGGTTTGTTCAGTGCAAATGCCACAAACACCCCAGCTTCCAACTCTGCTACTACTCCTGTAAAGAAAAAGAGGTATGATGGGCTCGTTGGGACTACCTCTTGCTGCAGTTCCGTAAGGGATTATTCTTTATTAATTTCTGAACTAAAACATCCACCAAGGCCCCCAGGCGGCGTCCAGATGTTGCTCTGCCCTTCCTCATTATTCCCTCCTCCCTTCCTAGGGATCCAGTGCCTACTAGCTACTCCTGTCTTCAAACCTCAGTCCTTTCCCTA